TTTTATGTGTTATATTGTGTTAATTTGAACAAATACATGAATGATGGGAAAGGTAGAAGTCCCTTAGGCAATTTTGAAGCGTTTTTGGTTCTATACGCTCCCAATAGTGAGATAATGGTCAATTTTCATTGATTTAAATTCATATTAAACAAAATATAAGGTAATTAAGGATGTTTAATTTTATATTGTGTCAATTTGAACCAATACATAAAAAATGGGAAAGGTGGAAGTCCCTTAGGCAATTTAAAGCCTTTTTGGCTCTATAAGCTCCTAAAAGTGAGTAAATGGCCACTTTTAATTGATTTCAATTCATAGAAACCAAAATATAAGGTATTAAGGATGGTATGTGTTATATTGTGTTAATTTGAACAAATACTTGAAAGATGTGAAAGGTAAAAGTCCCTTAGGCAATTTTGAAGCGTTTTTGGCTCTATACACTCCCAAGAGTGAGATAATGGTCAATTTTCATTGATTTCAATTCGTAAAAAAATATATAAGGTAATTAAGGATGTTTAGTGTTATATTGTGTTAATTTGAACCAATACATGAAAGATGGGAAAGGTAGAAGTCCCTTAGGCAATTTTGAAGCCTTTTTGGCACTATACGATCCTAAAAGTGAGTAAATGATCACTTTTCATTGATTTCAATTCACGGAAACAAAAATATAATGTAAATAAGGATGTTATGTGTTATATTGTGTTAATTTGAACAAATACTTGAAGGTTGGGGAAGGTAGAAGTCCCTTAGGCAATTTTGAAGCGTTTTTGGCTCTATACGCTCCCTATAGTGAGATATTGGTCAATTTTCATTGATTTCAATTCATAAAAACCAAAATATAAGGTAATTAAGGATTTTTAGTGTTATATTTGAACCAATAAATGAAATATGGGAAATGTAGAAGTCCCTTAGGCAATTTTGAAGCGTTTTTGGTTCTATATGCTCCCAAGAGTGAGATAATGGTCACTTTTCATTGATTTCAATTCATAATAACCAAAATATAAGGTAATTAAGGATGTTTAGTGTTATATTGTGTTAATTTGAACCAATACTTGAAATATGGGAAAGGTAGAAGTCCCTTAGGCAATTTTGTAGCCTTTTTTGCTCTATAAGCTCCTAAAAGTGAGTAAATGGTCACTTTTCATTGATTTCAATTCATAGAAACCAAAATATAAAGTAATTAAGGATTTTATGTGTTATATTGTGTTAATTTGAACAAATACATGAATGATGGGAAAGGTAGAAGTCCCTTAGGCAATTTTGAAGCGTTTTTGGTTCTATACGCTCCCAATAGTGAGATAATGGTCAATTTTCATTGATTTAAATTCATATTAAACAAAATATAAGGTAATTAAGGATGTTTAATTTTATATTGTGTCAATTTGAACCAATACATAAAAAATGGGAAAGGTGGAAGTCCCTTAGGCAATTTAAAGCCTTTTTGGCTCTATAAGCTCCTAAAAGTGAGTAAATGGCCACTTTTAATTGATTTCAATTCATAGAAACCAAAATATAAGGTATTAAGGATGGTATGTGTTATATTGTGTTAATTTGAACAAATACTTGAAAGATGTGAAAGGTAAAAGTCCCTTAGGCAATTTTGAAGCGTTTTTGGCTCTATACACTCCCAAGAGTGAGATAATGGTCAATTTTCATTGATTTCAATTCGTAAAAAAATATATAAGGTAATTAAGGATGTTTAGTGTTATATTGTGTTAATTTGAACCAATACATGAAAGATGGGAAAGGTAGAAGTCCCTTAGGCAATTTTGAAGCCTTTTTGGCACTATACGATCCTAAAAGTGAGTAAATGATCACTTTTCATTGATTTCAATTCATGGAAACAAAAATATAATGTAAATAAGGATGTTATGTGTTATATTGTGTTAATTTGAACAAATACTTGAAGGTTGGGGAAGGTAGAAGTCCCTTAGGCAATTTTGAAGCGTTTTTGGCTCTATACGCTCCCTATAGTGAGATATTGGTCAATTTTCATTGATTTCAATTCATAAAAACCAAAATATAAGGTAATTAAGGATTTTTAGTGTTATATTTGAACCAATAAATGAAATATGGGAAATGTAGAAGTCCCTTAGGCAATTTTGAAGCGTTTTTGGTTCTATATGCTCCCAAGAGTGAGATAATGGTCACTTTTCATTGATTTCAATTCATAATAACCAAAATATAAGGTAATTAAGGATGTTATGTGTTATATTGTGTTAATTTGAACCAATAATTGAAAGATGGGAATGATAGAAGTCCCTTAGCGTAATTTCGAAGCCTTTTTGGCTCTATACGCTCCAAAAAGTGAGTAAATGTTCACTTTTCATTGATTTCAACTCATAGAAATCAAAATATAAGTCAATTAAGGATGTTATGTGTTTTATTTATATATTATGAGTTTTATTTCTATAATTTGGTTCATCACATTTATTCTAATGATTGTTTTTATTATGGATTGTTTTTATTTTGTAACCTCTTTCATATGTTTTTGTTTCAATAGGATTTTTGTCCAAGGACAGCCCCGTATGATGTTGACGAGTTGAATGTGGTTCGAGAACAATGGGCGCAATACTTTAAAAGTAAATATTTATTGAATGCAAAACTATTAGCTTAGGTAGAACAACGTAGTATTTTTAGTGTTGTTGTATATGTTGGATTAATTTATACAACTTTTTGTTTGTAATGTGTTACTACTTTAGTTTTTATATTACGTCTTATTAATTTTTAGGAAAGATTGTTCGGTGTAATTTCTTATTTACAGGAACAGGTTTATTATAATAGGTCTTAATTAATATATATTAATTATATATAAATACATGCTTTCGAAATTAAATAAAATAAAAATTTAATTTAATAATTATTTGTAACGGGCAGCAGAATTGTCAGTTACAAATAACCAGTTATTCGTAACGGGCATTTTTATTGCCCGTTACAAATAAGTGTTAAATTATATACAATAAAACTTCATTGGTAGCGGACATTTAAGATGTCAGTTAAGAATAATCACTTATTCGTAACGGGCGTTTTAGGTGCCCGTTACGAATAAGGACTTATTTTAATACAAAAAAGGATTTATTCGTAACTGACATTTCAAATGTCCGTTACGAATAATGGGTTATTCGTAACGGACATTTGAAATGCCAGTTACGAATAATGGGTTATTCGTAACGGACATGTGAAATGTCCATTACGAAGAATTATTTATTCGTAACGGAAACTGCCCATTACGAATAACAGTCGCCAACCATAACGACCGCATACGTAACGGACGCTGCCCGTTACTGATGGGCCCTTTTTTCCCGTTACGGATGGCGTTTTTTCCACTAGTGCCTTTATCTCTCCTCTCTCATTTATTTTACAGAACCTTTGTAATTGACCAAGTTGAAGTTTTTTTTCCCCTTTTTTCATTACTGAAGGGGAAGCTTGAAGAACCTTTTGACAGCATTTCCAGGTAAGATCTCTTTTTCATATTTGTAGTGCTCCAACAAAGCTTTAATGGTGGTCAATTTTCAATAAAATACTGTTAATGTGGGAAATTTAGACAAAATTGTTGTTTTAGTAAACCCTAAATATCTGCGCTTAGGTAATTAAGATATTCACTAATTGTATAATTAATTAATCAAGTATGGGTATACACTCATGTGTTATGTTGTGTTTGTTTAAAATTTCAGTTTGTGTTCTGTGATGATTGAATATAAAATTTATTTTTTGTATGGTTTACTTGCTTTCATTGTAGAAAAATATGGATGGTGAGGATGATACTATTGACATTAAGATTAGGTTATTTAGAGGGTTTATGGAAAAGGAGCGTAGTGGGGAGCAGTATTTGGTTTATGAAGCTGGGTTTGTTTATGTGAAGTATGTTGTCCCAGTGTCATATGTGAGGAGTGTGACTTACTTAAGGTATCTGTGTAGTGAAGGATTAATAGCTTTGGGGCGGGAGGTTCCTGAAATTTATAGCTTGTGGTATAAGGAGAAAGGAAAGACTTGGGTAAATGGGAACAGAAGGATTGAAAATGATGATGATGTTAGGGGCTTCTTAGAGTCCAAACACAGTGAAGGGCGTGTACAGTTGTTTCAAACTGAGGGGTTTGAAGAGTGGGACAGGTATCACTCTCTTCCTGCAATATTGGATAACCTAATCACATCCAACCCATCTGCATCTGAATCACAGCCACCCAACTCTAATCCAAATGACCCAAAATCAAATGGTAATGGATCTCAACCTTCAAATTCACACCCATCTCAATCCATTCCATCTCAAACTTATCAGGTTACTAATTTAGAACTTAAGCTTGCATCTTCAAACACCCCAAAACCAAACAAAGCCCATGCTATAGAGAACACTAAGGACCCATGCTAAGCCTGACTATGAGGAGACCAAGGAATGTTAAGCCTATTGTGAATAAGCCACATACAGCTGAATATAAGCCAGCTATAGCTGAGAGTAATCCACCTTCAGCTCCTTTACCTAGAACAAAACTAAAGCCTAGGAAACCCATTCAGTCTATATGTAGGAGAAGCCCTAGGTTTAAAGGGGGAGGGTGAGAGTGATGTCATGGAGAAGGAAGATAGTGTGAGTGTGTTAAAAGAGATAGGAAAAGGTGTAGCTGTTGAGCACACTGAACAAGGAAAGGTGAAAGATAAAAGGAATTCTCTAGGAAAGTGTACAAAGAGGTTGTTCAAAGATGAAGATTCTGGATCAGAATCTTGATCATCTTCTACATAGCTGAGTGACTTGGATATTGAGTGGAAGGCATGTGAAGAAGATTTGAAAGTTAGTGATGAGGAAGAGGAATAGTGGCATATCCAGACAAGAAGGGGTATATTAGGTGAGGTGGAGAAGAGTTTGTAGATTATAAAAGCTGGTGACAGTTCCATGAAAGTTGATGAGCACATAGAGTAGAAGGTAAAGTAGCTTGGAAAGGACATTTGTTGCACAAATCTTTAGCTGCTGGTGGAGGGAAGTGACTCAAGCCCATGGTTTAGGGAAGACACTAATGACTCTTTATAGTATTAATGTGCTAAGAAGAGCAATGAGGACCCATGTTTTAGTGAACAGGTATGAATTTTATTACCTGCACAATGGTGGTCAGAAGATCACTATTTTCTGTAGAAAAAGATGCAACTATGAGTGGAATCCTAAGAGTATCAACTTGCCTCAATGCAAGTGTGATGATAAAGTGAAGAAATGTAAGTTTAAGGTGTCAACATGAAGACTTTATAATCGTAGTGCTTGTAAAATAAAGGAGTTGAGGTTAAAGCACAAGTGTATGAGATCTAGGATGAATGCATGTATTTCAGCCGAATACTTAGCAGAGAGGTATGTTGAAGAGTGGAGGAGCAATCCCACTTGGAAAATCAAGACATTTAGAGCTAGCGTTCTAAGTGATTTAGGAATACACATTGGGTATTCACTCGCTTGGCTAGTAAGAGCCAGAGCAAAGTTCATGATTTATGGCTCTACAGCAGAGCAATATGCAAGGATTTGGTATTATGGCAAGGCTGTGCTAAAGTATAATAAAAAAAGTGGGGTGTATATGGTGGTTGAGGGAGCACACAGACCAGAACCCCCTCTATTCATAAGGATGTACATGTGTTTGGCAGCATTGAAGAATGGTTTTAACAAAGGTTGTAGGGCTCTCATTAGCCTAGATGACTGTCATTTCAAAAGGGCCTATCCTGGTCAAATTCTTGTTGTAGTTGGCAAGGATGGGAATAATCAAATTTTCCCCATTGCATTGGCAACAGTGGAGATAGAGAACAAAGACGGTGCTGGTTGATACACTGTCTGTAGAAGGATATTGGAGATTGCAGTAGTGAAGGTTTAGGACTGACATTTATGAGTGATAGACAAAAGGTTTGACTTTCTCTCAGTGTACTTAATTTTTTTGTTTATCATACCACAGTTGTATTTCTAATAGTTGACTTTTTTATTTTTTACTTTTACCTATAGGGATTTCTTGAAGCTTTTGATGAATTAGTCCCAAATGATGAGAAGAGATTTTGTGTCAGGCATATTTTGGCTAATTTTAAGCTCTAATTCATTGGATCTACCTTCAAGGAATTGTTTTGGAATCCAGCAAGGGCAATCACTTTGGTAAGTTTATTTCATCATGAATTGTGTTCTATCATCCTTTGTGTAATGTGTTTAGTCCTAGTATGTGGTCGTGTTAGAGTGTATGCATATGCTTTATGTTGTGTTAGTAGGTCTCTTATCATAGTCTATGGTTTTGTGATATATTTTGATTTTGAGGTTGCAATGTAGTCCATTGAGTTCTTATCAGAAGACGCATATGAGTACTTAGCAAATATACCACCATCACACTGGTCAAGACATGCATTTTTTTATTGGTGTAAGTCCAACATGCTACTAAATAATCTTTGTTATCTGTTATAAAAGATGCAAGAGATAAGACCATTCTAACATAGATGGAGTGGATAAGATTTTACATGATGAAGAGGAATTGCGAGAAGTGGAAGGCAGTTCAAAAAATGGAAGGAAATAACATACGTTATGTGAGTAAGGTTTTTGGGAGGATTGAAAAGGTTGCTAGATATTGCATTGTCTAGTTGTTTAGAGGGGAAAGCTATGAAGTTGAATTGGATGGGGATAAGGTGGTGGTTGACCTCAAGATGAATTCATGCTCTTGTTATCAATGGCAGCTTATTGGCAGACAATGTGTACATGTTTATGCTTGTATACTTGATAAAAGGGTGGATCCTGATGACTATGTGGATGCTTACTACAGTAGGGCATCCTATATTATTATATATCAAGATGCAATCAACTCTATGCCAGGCCCCAAGCATTGGGAGAAGATAAACTTGAGATAAAACTCCCACCTGCACTTAGGGTAATGCATGGGAGGCCTAAATAATAGAAGAGAAAGCTGGAAAAGGGAGAAGGAGGTCAAGGCAGCAAAGAGGCACAACCAAAGAGCCTAAAGTTCCAAAAAAGGTGTAGAATTGTGGTAACCTTGGTCATTATGCCAAGAGTTGTGGATCTACAGCTAAAGTTGAAGCCTTAGCAAGCTCTAAGCCAAAGGTGTCATCCAAGCCTTTCTTCAACACACCATGGCTGCAAGAATAAAGGAGAAATAAAGCTCATAGGGCTGCTGCTAATGTAAGCTGATTGTCCTGTTTCTTTTTGTTTTAAAATGGTGAAGTTTCTGTCCTATAATTGCCTTTTTTGTTTGTGTGCTTTGAATATTTACAGAGTGGAGCTACTTCTTGACCTAACAATATTGCTAACAAGATATTTCCACAAGAACAACAGAAGCACCAAGGTCAAAGCTCCCAGCCTGTTACTTGCAGCCAAAATACTCATGCCTCACCAACAACAACAGCAACAAGGTCAAAGGCAAAGGGAAAAAACAAAGTTGTTTGAAATTTCTGTTTAAATTCCTTGTGTAAACCTTAAACTTTGGTATTAGTCAATTCTGAAAAATGTTTGTATTTAACTGTCTATAAGAATTGGAATTTGATGCATTCAATCTGCAACCTTTTGTAATTAATAAAGTACTTAACTATGCAATGGTGAAAACTAATGTTTATTGTCTCATAAAAGTAGTGTTTTTCATTCATACTTGAAGAGTTTACGGTTTTAAAATGTCGACTTAATTAGAGTAGACTAACCTACTAACATAACACTAGAAACCAAATAACATAACACTAAACTGAAACTACTAAGATAGAACCTACACTAACCTAAGCTTTCTTAAGCACAACTAACAACTCTAACAACTGAAAACACCCACAAAAACACAGCCAAACCCACCATTGTTCTGCACCCCTTGCTTAGTGTATGTCTTCCTATTACCACTAAGAGCTTTGCACTTCAGTTTAAGGTTCTCATTCTCAGTGAGCAAGCACCTTCTCTAACCACTAAGATCCTTAACTTCTTTTTGCAATGAGCTTATCTCACCCTTCTTCAGTTTTTTTGTCAAGGATAAATTGGTTGATCACATCCCTTTGCCAATCAGTCCCATCTTCTTCATCCAGACACTCAGAGCTCTTACAGCCCATTGTTTCTGTTTTGGGATCATAAAACTTGCATGTCAAGAACTTCTTGCTTGGATTCTCTCTAGTCCATGATGTTAGCCTAGTGTAGGGAATATTTCAAGCATTATCCCTAGCTTGAACCCCACTATGATCATACACTTAAGTACGGTGGCGTCCAAAGGGAAAGAAGATAGAGAAAAAGAGTCGCCAACAAGTTTTAAGAACTTGTAAACCGTTCATGAGGTGAAGGTTACACCCCTTAACGATCCAAGAGATCGTTAACTCCAATAGGTCTGGAACCATGACTGGTAGTTCAGGGATGAAGGTACAAATCCAACCTAAAAGAGATTGAACCTACCCTAATAATAAGACTTTACTTTATTCTGATCGTATTCATGTGCGCTTTCTGACTAACATGCAATCATTAGGATTAACCCTAAACCTGTTTATCTATGCTGGTTGAATATTAATGCACAAATAAAACTATTATTAGCGATCACTTGAATTATTATCAAATTAACCCTAAACAAGATTATTAAATTATCTTATGTAAGCGTGATTACAAGTACCAATTCTCTTTAAACATGCATAAAAGGTGTGATCAAGCAATAAATAATAAATATAATCAAGAAACATAATAAAATAACAATCATAATCATTATTTATAATCAAAATCATAGTTATCAAAATCATGTTAAAGCGTTATATTAATAGTAAGATCCTACGCATGATACAAACAAGATTAATAACAAACCCTAGCATGTCACTAAACAATAAAAATCAAAGCTTTAGCCCTAACATGATACTAACATGAATATTAGAAAAGAATATAGGAAGCATCGCAATTGTCATATTTGATATTAAAGTTACCTTAAACATGATACTAGGAAGATCAAAACGCCCTAACATGACACTAGGAATCATAATAACAACTTAGATATGATTTCTATATCATAATATCAATAAAACCATTAAAGCACTTACTTGGATGCCTCGTACCTCTTTCTAATAACAAAATACACACGTTAGTAACTTCAAGGAAAATAATAAACAAAACAATTAAATTAAATAATTGAAAGAGAAATTTGGGACCAAACCCTCAGAAATTGAAACCTTTCACGTCAAGGGCGAAGGCAACTTTGAATTATGCTAGGTGTTTCTTGGTCTTGTGAATGGAGAATTTTGTATGCAAAAGGGGTGGTTTAGAAAAGAGAGAGAAAAGTTCTTAAAAACTAGAGAGAATAAGAAAACTAGAGAATATATGATATTTGATGATTCAAAACGGAGGATTTAGGAGGCTATTTATAGAGAAAATCAGCCAAACGGATAGAAAAACAAATCAGAGTTTTGACGAGGATAAAACAGGTAAGCGCCAGGCGCTAAGGCTAGCGCCAGGTGCTAATCCCTGTCGTCAGGCTCTAAAAATTATTTTCACGCGTTTTCTTAACTCTGATAAAATTTAGATGTACAGAAGGGAAAAATTGTATTTTCCTTAAAAACACTCTTTTATTCTGATTAAAACTCTAAAAAGTCAGCCAAAGTCAACTTATCAATGCTAATTGAATTAAGAATGAAAAGAACCTTCTAGAAAAATCTAGAAGACTAAAATCAATTCTAATTGCATGAGGAATGATAAATCCATATTAGGCCCTCCTCTAGATCATTGGGCCGCATATAAGTATCAAACCGGGCCCAGTTTAGTAATTTGGCCATAACTTCCTCATTATTCATCGGAATTGGGCTTATAATATATCGTTGGAAAGCTCTTTTCAAGCGCCATCCAACTACACTATTATTGTAACTTTTATATTGACCAAACCAAACTGAATTGGCTGTTTTCTTGAAATAGGTTTTCAAAAACAGAGAGAAGAGAAAAAAATTAAAAACTATCCGCAACACTAGACTTTCCACACTTTCACTTCATTCGATTATGATTCGACGCGAAAGTTACTCATCACCGGGTTTAGTTTTGGGGAGACACAAATAGGTGTCTACAGAAGCCCCCACTTTGACTGAGTTTGGAGAAACACAAGTTTCGAAAACAAAAGTCAAAGTAACGATAGGGACGGAGAATAATTAAGAACGTTCGGCGATCCTAAATCATTCTTGTAACACCGATACCTGCAAACTAGCGTTAGTTAAAAAGATAAAAGATTTAAGACACGTGTATCTTGCACCGTCGAGCACACGTCTCTGAAGGTAACCGATTTGTTGTTGTATTGTTGTATTTTTGATAACCTTCCGCAAGCCAGGGAATGTCATCCCGTTATTTGTTTTGATGACCTCCTGCAAGGTAGAGAATGCCTCCTGAAGGCTACTACACTTGTAACTGCCTCCAATTCTGCCATGATAGAATTCTGCAAGCTAGAGAACCCCATCGAAGATTGCTTTGCTTGAAACCACCTTCTAGTACTTTGTGACCATCTTCCGCAAGCTAGGGAACACGATCGAAGATAACTTCGCTTGAAATCACCCCTAGTTGTTTGTGACAAGTCTCCGCAAGCTAGGGAACGCTGCCGAAGATATCCTCGCCTGAAGCTATCCTCATTTGTTGCGATAATATTCCGAGGAAAATTAACGAAGGTCCACGCTTGTCGATCTGTAAAAGCTCGCTTAAACTTTGCTTCCGCTATGCCAGTAAGTCGGCACTTTTGCTGCTTTTGAACCTGTATGTCAGTGCCTTCTGAACTATGAACCAGTATGTCGGTGCCTTTGCTGTATAAAACATTATGTCGGTGCTTTGCGATGAGCCAATGCTTAGGCGCTTTAAGCTAAGTGA